TGAAGCTGCAGGGACCATGTTCGAAAATTTGATTATTTTAGGGGACGAATTTGCAATTTATGGAACTTTTGCTTATTTCAATTTGACCCCTGGGGTCAGTGTGAAAATTCGAAACTGGCATGTGGTCAATTCGTAATTTCAGAACTGTCATTTAATTGCAATTGAGTCCTATGACCAATCTGAAAATTTAAAACTTCTGAAAACATGCAATTGGGTCCTTGGGGCCAGTTTGTTATTTCAGAAAATTGTTAAGGCTTGTTTGGCTGCTTGGAAATTCAGAGTTTTTTGAAAAATCTCAAATAAGGTTATTTTTGTATGTTTCAAATTTCTGAAAAATTGCTAAAATTGAAATAAGCTCTTGGGGTATATTTCAAACTAAAAATTGTTGTCCCTTAGCTCTTAAATATTTTTGAAATATTTAATAAACAAAACGAAGCTTGGAGCTTGTTTAGTACATTAAAATTTTAGAAATTTTGATGAATATATTAGCACTTTATTTTGATCCATAAATTTACTTGGCTTATGTATTTTGAATACATCATTATTATATGTGTTTAGAACCATATAAATGTATGAGTAATTAGATTACTTGTATGTATTTTGAATACATACATGGGTAATTAGATTACTTAATTGTATATATTTTGAATACATATTGTTATCATCTTTTGTGTTTGGAATGTCATAAATGCATGATAATTGGATTATTTGCTCTTATTTGTCTAATTGAAATAAATTAAATAGTTTATTTTATTTTAGTTAGCGTCCGCGATTATATTGTCTGGGTAGGCGGCACCCAATATTTGTCGACCGCTCGGGTAGGCGGCGCTCGATATGTGATAGTAGTTGGATCTTGATTGAATATTTGATATTTAATACCTCATTCAAATGTTCCCCTAATAAAATATAAGTCTCATCTTGGATGCATGACGTCACCCATCACAATTGAATGAGTGAAAAAACCTCTTCGTCCAAAAGTATTTACACCCTAGTGTTTGCTTAGGTCTACGAGGCTCAGACTCATTCATAGATACATATGTTTGTGATCGTGTGATGGTTATGACTAACCTAGCTAATTCTTATCGCCCTAGCGACGGAATGATCTAAGGACGTCGATCAAATTTGATTTGATCAACCAAGAGTTGTAATTGTTTACAATTGGTTTAAAGACCTGCCACTACATCGATTATAGTGATCAGCCCTAGCTGGGGCTATAATCGGATGGGTGTGGATCTTGGCTCACTATGACTATATTTGATATGAGTCCGTACTCTTCTGAAGGGGTCATAGAGTATGTGAAAATAGTGGGAGCTAAATTAATTAAAAGCCATGTTAATTTAGTTAATAAATGTGAATAAGTTGTTTTATATTTATGTTCTATATGTTTCTTTGGTTGAATAGAATTTTTAATTAATCATCGAAATGTATGATGTAAATGAAAGTTGACTGAACCAAATTATCTATATTGACTACACCTTTTGTAGTTGTTGTAATGATAAAAACGAGTAGAATATGTGTTTGACACAAAGGTGCCCATTGTACTTAATAGTACCTTTCTGGGTACTATGCGTTTGACCTTTATAAAAGGTATTAGGATGATAAAATTTCAGTTTAATGTGTGTGTTGTGTTGTTCTCTATGTCAACTAGGTTGAAGAGACAATATGATAGGATGAATCCCAATGAATGTGAGAGCATTTAAAGAGACTTTATGACCCTCAGTCTCAAACCTTGGAGTTTGAACTGTTGGGGCATCTCTTCAAATGCAGGCTACATAATGGGATAAAGTCTTTGTGCATGTCGTGGAGATGATTTGACTGATTGGGAGTCTGACTTCGTTTGATTGAAGCTCCCAGATCATGTCACTGTGAATCTTGCAGTCGCTCTAGTTTCATATATTTTAACTTCATTGTGAATTTTTATATGAAATGATACGAGGACTACGATGTCTTAGTTGCACATGACAAATTCATTTAGTCTTAGAAAAGGTTGTACTCATAGTGAGTTCTTCTGCTAAATCTTACCACGGTAAGAGTAAGTAGAAAAGAGGCTGAAATTGTTTCTAGGCCTACAACCTAGAAGCCTAAGGAAAGGATGAACAAAAACTGAAATTGTTCAATGATGTAATTTCTGCAAAGAAAAGTGCGTTGAAAGAGATGTTGCATGTGTTTCAAGGCACAAGGTGTTGCGAACACTGTATAGAATTTGATTGTTCAAACGAAAGTTTAAAGTAATACGAAAATCTTCATTTTCTTATGGCATTATAGATTTGGTCACATTAATAAGACAATGTTAAGTACATTAGATTACTTAACACCATATGACTTTGAGTAACATGGAATTTGTAGATTTTGTCTTAAATGAAATGATGACCAATGAGTTCTTTTCTTGGAAAGGGACACAAGCCAAAGAATGTTTGAATTGATCTACATGAATGTATGTGGGCTTTCTTAAACTCAAGTTAGAAGAAGTTTTTCGTAATCCATCATCTTTACTAGTGTTTTTTAAAGGTGGAGTTATGTGTGTCTTACGAAACACAAATCGAAGCCTTAGAAAATTCAAGAAGTATACTGTTGGAGTAGAGGAACAACATGACTTAAGTATCTCCCGATTTGATCAAGTAGAAGAATACTTAGCATGGAGTTTCTTTATTACTTGAAATTTCATGGAGTCCAATTGTAATGGATACCTCCTAGGACTCATTTGATTGAGTATTTGAAAGGAGCAATCGAATCTTATTAGATATGGTTAGATTCATGTTAAGTTTCACCACCTTCCACATATCATTGATGTTATACCTTATTGAGCTCGATTTACATTCTAAATAGAGTTTCATTGAAGTCGGTTGTAAAGACGTCATATGAATCATGACGTGGCAAGAGGCCTTGTCTTTAACATACGAGAACCTGGGTGATGGGTCTCCTCTCAGATCTGGAGTGAATCAATGGAAACCAACTCAGATCTGAAATGAACCGATAGAAATGAGCTCAGATCTGACTCGATTGCCTCTGAACCGTTGTTGGACTACGAGAACACCTGTAAGAACTCAACGCCGGAGGGGTTTCCGGCGTAGAGCATCTGACGCTCAAGTCAGTATGTGAAAGAGATGAAGAGAGCTGCTCTGAGAGAGCAGCAACAGTAATGGAGGAGAGTCTATAATGAATGGGAGTTAGGGTTTTGGGGTTACCTCAACTCCTTTATATAGGAGCAAAACAGTTACCTGAAGTCCCCAAAATGCCCCGACCGACTTACTGGAAATGTCCAAAATACCCTGGTCGGTTCGCATTCTGTCCATCTCCTCGCCAGCATCTAGATTCCTTCTTATCCTTAATAGCTTCATTCTTATCCTTGACAGCTTCCTTATGATATGTTGAAGTATACCGAAATCGTCGAGGATCTAAGAGCCTCGAGACTTTCTCAGTCGACTCGGGACATCGACTCGAGTCGACTGGGTCATCTTCAATCGTCAATAGACCTTGAAGCGCTTATCCATCCTTCGACGTGTGGAAGTTGACAGGGAGAGACGCCTGGGTCTTTGACCTGAGACATTATAAGGAGTCCGCGGAAAGAGTCGACTTTGGATAAGTCAACTCGGTAATCTCTGAGCCGTGATAGTATGAACCGTTATACGATAGTATGGCTATATCATCTAGCNNNAAAAAAAAATTACTCGAAGCGATTCTGAGCTTAAGAGTAAATTCTGACGACTGGTGTCTCGCTTAGATCTTTTCACATATCTTGTCGCTTGTCATTGTTCTAAGTCGTGTCTGCTTGCTATGTCTACTCGTGAAACGACTTTCCTTCCTCATAAATTCTGAATTGATTGGATAAGTCAAAATCTTCTTTTCAAATTTCAAATTTCAAAAAAGGTCTTGAACACATATAAGATGCTTTCTCTCTCCACTGCTTCGTATTCCGTGCATCATGTCAACCGTTAGATCTGACTTTAATCTGAGGGCTAGGGCTTCTCTGCTCTCCCTATAAATACTCCTCCCCTGTTCTTGTCTTCACTTTTCGCTCTTAAAACTTTATGAACTCTCTGCTTTTCCGGCAAACACAGCATCTCAAGCTCTCCGACGCTTACCACATTCTCCAACGTTTTTCTCAGATTTATCAGGACTTCTTCGTCAGTCATCATGTGTAAGTTTTCCTTGCTTTCGATTTATTACTTGTGTATGATATTTTGCTTCTCTCTTTTTTTTGTTTTTTCTGGGTGATGTGCTGGGATTTTGCATATTCGTCGGACTTTCTGGGGATTTTTAGATGAGTTTCTGGCGATTTTTTGCTAGATCTTTAATTGTGGGTTTTTCATCTCCCCAAGTGTTTTCATACGTCAGTCGTTTTGTTGTGAAGGATCGACTCTTCTGCTCCAAAGTATTAACCAGCCGTCGACTTGACATTCATATGTCAAGTCGAATCGAAACAGGGAATATTTTTCTCGTTTCTTCTCCCTTTTTTCATTGTCGAGTCGCTTCACGCATTTTCCTAGTTTTTTCGTTGACCCTCATCCTTTGGAGTCGAATCGCGGTCGTATTTTTCCATATCTATTGATTGTCGCTCTTTTTTCTTTCTTTTTTTTAGATTCCAACTCCGACCCTGTTTCTGGATCCCTTGCCCGCGAAATTGACAACTACTCGAGTTGACCAGTGAAAAAAAAAAAGCAGTGGTGAGCGCTCGCTTCCGCGCGCTTAATCATGAAGCGGCGGGGTGCCGCCTCACTTAGGGGCTTACGCGCGCGCTGAGGGGGGGCATCGCTTAGGCGGAAAAAGGCGGGCGCTGAGGCGAGCGTAGGCGCGGGAAACGGCGCTGAGGCGGGTCGAGGCGGTGCGGGGCAGGAGAATCGATTGGTGGGAGCGCTGACCTAGGGTTACGTAGGTGCGTGGCGGCCAAATAAAAGGCCCAGACCTAGGGTTACGAGTACACAGAGGCAATTAATTAGTGATTAATTCGTTCCATGCTTTGATTATATTAATCTGATTTGTTCCATGCTTGTCTCAATAGGATGGCAACAGGTGAGACCAATGTGGCAATAGAGGCAACAGCAATAGAGGCAACAACAACAAATTCAGTTGTTCTCAAGAGAAATTCAGATGATGTAGGATGGAAGTATGGGGTGCTAGTTGATCCTCTGAACAAGGAGAAGGTCCGGTGCTTGTTTTGTGGCCATACTAGTTCAGGAGGGATTTACTGTCTGAAACAACATGTAGCACATGTTGGGACTTCGGTGGTTAACTGTACGAAACAAACAGAGGAGGCTAAAACAACATGTAAGAAGTCATTTGAGGAGGCAACAAGGAAGAGAAAGGAGAAGACTGCTCGTGATCTAATCTGAGAGAAGAAGTGAATGTTTCTAGAGTTGGAGAGCAGGAGCAGGATGAGGTAACTTGTGTTGGAAGCCAAGTTGCAAGCTCGGAGCCTCACAAATTAGGCCCGATTGATAAGTGGACAAGGGCAATTGATCCTAAAGCTACACAGGCTGAATCTTTAAAGCAACAAAAGATCAACAAGGAACTTTGGAAGCAAAGAACACATGAGGTTCAGCAATACATTGCAAGATGGATGTATATACATGGTAAATAACACTGCTGCTATTTAAGTATTTATTGACTATTGTTTTGTTTTCAATCCTAAAAATTATGAATACCTTGCTTGCTATTCCTAACATATTACTCATATATTCTTTGACACTTGACAGCGATACCATCCAGCGCCATCAACAATGATGAATTCATGCAAATGTGTGAAGCTATAGGGCAATTTGGCCCTGGTTTGCAGCCACCTTCTCAAGACCACCTAAGGGGAGTTCTTTTGAGTGAGGAATATGAAAGAACCAAGAGTTTGGTTAAGGAACACGATGCTGAAAAGATAAAGAATGGTTGTTCAATCATGACAGATGCTTGGTCTGATAGGAAAATGAGAAGTATAATGAATCTAGTCACAAATTGTTCTGTTGGCACTACTTTCTTGGGCTCAAAGGAGATGTCAGATGTATCACATACAGCTGAAGTAATTTTTGAATTAGTGGACAAAGCCATTGAAGAAGTAGGTGAGGAGGAAGTGGTCCAGGTGGTGACAGACAATGCTTCTAACAACATGGCTGCCAAAAACCTTTTTGTTTGCCAAAAGGCCAAGCATATTCTGGACTTCTTGTGGTTCTCATACAATCAATTTGATGCTGCAAGGAATTGGGAACCTACCAAGGTTCAAGAAAGTTCTTGACCAAGCAAAGGCATTCACTATATTTGTCTATGGCCACACATTAACCTTGGAATGTATGAGGTCCTTCACAAATGGTAGAGAAATTGTAAGTCCAGGTGTGACCAAATTTGCATCTGCTTTCCTTACATTGACCAGCATTTTGGAGAAGAAAGATGACCTAAGAAAAATGGTTGTGCACAGCAAGTGGGACAGCTTGAGAGATGTCAAGTCCAAAAAAGGAAAATCTGCAACAGCAACAATGATGAGTCCACAATTCTGGAAAGATGTGAAGATGTGCTTAAGTATTTTTGAACCTCTTGTAAAAGTGCTTCGTTTGGTTGATGGAGATGTCAAGCCTACTATGGGCTTCCTGTACAAAGAATTAACCAAGGCAAAGAGAGAGATAAAGCAATGCTATGGGAACATGGAGGCTCGGTACAGAGATGTCATGTCTATTGTAGACAAGAAGATGAAAGGGAGACTTGATTCTCCCATACACTTAGTTGTATGTGTGTTGAATCCATACTATAGTTATGCTGATACGTCACTCTTTGAAGATGGCACAGTGATAGAAGGGTTTATGAAATGTGTTGAGACCTTCTATCATGCTGATGAGGACATGCAAGATAAGGTTGTCAACTATGAACTTAGGATATTTCAAACCAGGGAAGGTTCATTTTCTAAGAAGCTAGCTAGGCCTTATCAAAACATTGATTATAACCCATGTAATATTTGAATTTGTAGACTTGTAGTTCCGCATTATAAATATTTGTAGTCTGCACCACATTATGATAATTAAACTAACTCACAATTATTTTCAGCATCTTGGTGGAGATTGTATGGGACTTAAACACCCGGTTTACAATGGATGGCTATTAGAATCTTGTCTTTAACTTCAAGTTCTTCTGGTTGTGAAAGAACTCAATCTGAAATTAGTCTCTTTATTAATCTCATGAACTGTCCATTGCTTTATAGATTCATACCAAGAGAAGGAATAGGCTAACTACTGAACGCCTTAATGCTCTTGTCTACATCTAATTCAATTCCAAATTGATGAGCAAGAGAGAAAAGATCAGGACTAAGAAGATCGATGTTCTCTCATCTAATGAAACAAGTGAAGCGCAAGGATTTCTTTTTTAGGGTGGCGATGATTGTGCAATAGTTATTTATAGGGATGAGGAAGATGATGAGATGCCTGGCACAAATATTCTGTAGTCTGTTATTGGAGAAGCAATGGGAGTGGATGAACAACTTGAGAGGCGTCAAAGTGCAAGAGTGAGAGAGCTTTATGCAGAAGAGGAATTTGCGTCTGAAGAAGAGGAGTTTGAGGAACATGATGACTACATGGATGAAGAATGAGGGGGCTGGATTGCTTGCTGTTAGCATGTTGCTGCTGTTTTATTGTTTTTAATTTTCAATCTGAATCTGTAATGAACTTATGGGAACTTATGAGTGTTGTCATGTGTCTTTTAATTCCTAAGTCTGTATTAGTATTTGTCATATGTTCACAAACTATTTTGTATCTTACCTTTCTGTTAAGTACTTAATATTCATCTCTTATGTTATTCAAATTTTCAATGAGTTTGATATTTCTCATCTTTGTGTTATTCTCATGACCAAGAAGTTAACAAAATGAAGTTATCTAGCCTTGAATTGATCAGAGACAAGCCTACCAATACAAACAAGGTATGTATGTACTTATGCCTATTTATAATTTCTGAAAATCTACTTTGCTACAGTACAAACGCCTAGGCACGCCTAAGCTCTAGTATTAGGGTCACCGCTCGCTTAGCGCCTAGCGCCTAATTTTCCGTTGTCGAGTTCCGATTTTGTACAAAAAATCTCTGTCGGACCGCGTGCCGTCCTAAAGGTCGAGTCCGAGGACTCTGTTCATTCCACAACTTCGCCTTTTGGAATCGACAAGGATGTGTACAATCAAGCACTGCTATTCGACACCTTGTTTGAGGATCCTGAGATCTCTCGTACTATGGGATCTCCTCGACTTAGCTTAATCCCTCGAGGTATTCTCATTAGGCTTTTAGACATCCCTATGCATAGAGCAAGCCTTATTTATTCGCTAATAATAGCTTCTTCAGCTGAGCCTGTAATTGTAGCGTGTTCCGTAGCAAAGTTAGTTGTTCCTAACCCTATTTTCTTATGCTCCTGCAGCCGAAATTGAGGGCTTCAGAGAGTTCAGTGGTCTTCCCACTGATTGGGGATTGGTCGCTCCTACCATAGACGATGACTTCAGGCATCCTCCCCGTGGTTGTTTTACCTTTTTTGTGGATCAGATAATGTCAGGATTGCGCTTCCCGATTCAACCCGAGCTGTTATCGTTGAGTAACCTTTATGATATACCAATAAATCAGTTCACCCCCAACTCTATTCGAATAATGGTGGCCTTTATAGTCGTCACTTATATAGTGCTAGGTAGTTTTGTACCCGATTTTTTTCTTTACTGTTACGGCTATAGATTTAGGAAGGATGCCCATTATTTGGGTCGTTGTGTGGGCGTTACCTTTCTCGACGACTTATCTTCTAATATTACTGAATGGAAGAAAAAGTATTTCTTCATTCGTCCCGCTCCCAGCCAATATCCTTTTTCGAATGAGTGGATTATCAGCAAGACAAAGCAGCATAAGCGTCCCAGCTCTTTACAATTCGCGAGCATGCTGGAGGAGCTGAACAAGCACATATGGAGGGCCCGTCGATTGACCAAGGATAGCTCCCTTCTCAATCATGTTGGTATTTGTGTCGATAAGAGTATCCCTCAACTTAGTGACCCTTGTAAGCTTCCCTGTTTATATCGGTTTTTGTTTCGGCCTGTTATCGATCATTTGGCCGCGTGTGTTCTTGTGTCTGTTTGTTTTGACGGGTATGTATGTATTGTTTTTTTTTGTATTGATTCTTTCTGTTTGTCGATAGTGAAAGCTCTGGCTCGCTTTGACAAGAAGAAGGCCGAGGCGGCTAAGAGGTCAGCTGCTCAGGGGTCTGAGGGAGGCTCGGGCTCTGTTGCTCCCACTGCGGCAGTCGAGACGACTGCCGCTAGAAAGTCTAAAGTCGTGCTCCCCTAGGCTTCTAAGTCGATTCAACCGTCGGGTTCCAATTCCCGTAAGAGGTCCCATGATCAAAGGGACGCGACTCTGGCGCCCAACTCCTGGAAGCGCCAAAAGGAGAAAGGGTCGATGGTTGAGAAAGATGTGGAAGAGCCCATGGTTGGAAAAGATGCGGGGCAGTCGTTGACCGTGAAGGTGCAGTCTGTAACCCTTCAACAACCTTCCCGGCTCTACGACAACCCTGATCCCCTTCAGGTGCTTAACTACCTCCAATCGGTTCCCCCTAAGGACGACCGAGCTTGTTCTGACGGTAACCCTTACGACCGGGCTCGCTATGCTGCTCGACTCATCCCTCGGGTAAGTTTAATCTTGTGTTTTCTCCCCCCTTTTTTTCTTAGTATTATATTGACTTCTTATCATTTCATTTGTCCGTTCTCTTTTCAGCTTCTCGCCTGCATTCTCCCGACTATGATCGAGGAGGCGACCTCTCTCAAAACCAATGTCAAGGTTTTGGGAGAAAAATACACGGCCAAGTGCAATGAGCTCGCGACCAAGGAAGAGGAGCTCGAGGCTGCTAATGCCGTCATCGCCAAACTCCGTTCCGATAAGGAGGCGGCTGTTCGAAGGGCTGAGCGGCTGAGAGTCGACCTGATCAAGGCCAATGACGAGGTCTTGGTCGAGAGGGAAAATGGGATTCAGGAAGGTCATCGGACCTTCTTGAAGTCCACAACTGGGACAGTTTTTCTTGAACATTACCGCAATGTTGTGGTCGAGGCGTTCTGTGATTCCCCCGACTTTCTTGACTAGCTTGTTCCCACGATGGTCCAATACTTCGATTTCGCTTGCGATACGTGGAAGCAAGTCGTGACTAAGCCCGACTTCTTGGGAAAAATCAACTGGGAGGCCGTGAAGCTAACTATTCCCGACCCTGTCGGCTACAAGGGCGAAGCAGTTCTCCCTCCTGGCCATGCGTGGTGGAATGGCCTCGCGGCCAAAGCTATTCATGCGGCTGAGCTCTCCTCTCAACTTGAGGTCCCTCCACTTTCCTTGGTCGGCCTAGTTGAGTTGGTTGAGCCGAGTGGAGCCGGCTATGAAGAAGAGCCGGTCGACGAGGATATTGAAGTCGAGCGGCCGAGTATGGAGCCTATTGGGAAGGTGGTAGTCGAGTGGTCAGTTATGGAGCCAATCGGGGAGGGGGAGGGTGCTGGGACCGAACCGATTGGCGATGAAGGTGGGGATGCTGCTGAGAAGTCGACAGCCGACTCCCAGAAGGCTTAGATTTTTATATTCTCTTGTTTTTAATTACGATCTCAACCTATTTTCTAAATGTAAAGGTTGAGATGGTTTCGGATGTATCAAATTTCCTTTTTAATATAATAGTTATTATCTCTGTTCTTTTCTTACTCGTTGCTTCTATATTTTGTTGACCCTTCGTGGTTACGTTTGCGTTTTTTCTCTTAATTGCTTAGCTCCTTATTTCGTCTTACTACGTCTTCTCCCAACCCTTCTTGCGAGCTGGTCGAAGTCGAGCAACAGTTTTAACAGCTTCATAGCTGTTGGACCGTTTCCCAAGTCGTCTTCTCCCAACCCTTCTTGCGAGCTGGTTGAAGTCGAGCAATATTTTTAATAGCTTCATAGCTGTCGAACTAAGTTTTTCGAGTCATTTTCTCCCAACCCTTCTCGCGAGCTGGTCGAAGTCGAGCAATATTTTTAACAGCTTCATAGCTGTCGAACTTAAGTTTTTCGAGTCGTCTTCTCCCAATCCTTCTTGCGAGTTGGTCGAAGTCGAGCAATATTTTTAACAGCTTCACAACTGTTGAACTAAGTTTTTCGAGTCGTCTTCTCCCAACCCTTCTTGCGAGCTGGTCGAAGTCGAGTAATATTTTTAACAGCTTCATAGCTGTTGAACTAAGTTTTTCGAGTCGTCTTCTCCCAACCCTTCTTGCGAGCTGGTCGAAGTCGAGCAATATTTTTAATAGCTTCATAGCTGTTGAACTAAGTTTTTTTAGTCATCTTCTCCCAACCCTTCTTGCGAACTGGTCGAAGTCGAGCAATATTTTTAACAGCTTCATAGCTGTTGAACTAAGTTTTTCGAGTCGTCTTCTCCCAACCCTTCTTGCGAGCTGGTCGAAGTCGAGCAATATTTTTAACAGCTTCATAGCTGTCGAACTTAAGTTTTTCGAGTCTTCTTCTCCCAACCCTTCTTGCGAGCTGGTCGAAGTCGAGTAATATTTTTAACAACTTCATAGTTGTCGAACTAAGTTTTTCGAGTCGTCTTCTCCCAACCCTTCTTGCGAGCTGGTCGAAGTCGAGCAATGATTTCGACAGCTTCGTAGCTATTGAACTAGGTTTTTTGAGTATTCTTCTCCCAACCCTTCTTGCGAGCTGGTCGAAGTCGAGCAATGATTTCGACAACTTTGTAGCTGTTGGACTAGGTTTTTCGAGTCGTCTTCTCCTAACCCTTATTGCGAGCTGGTCGAAGTCGAGCAATAATTTCGACAGCTTCGTAGCTTTCTTCCTTCGGCATTGATGAGTTTTTTATTTGTTTCTGTCGATTTTTCAATTTTTTTTTTTTTTTTTGGAGTGAGCCAGCTATATAGCCGTTTTGAAAAATACGATTTATTCCGGCAATCGTTGTCGAAATCGATGCGAAAAGGGGGTCGATTGCC